GGGGTGTAGGGGTTCAGTATGGACATGGGGTGTAGGAGTTCAGTATGGACATGGGTGTAGGAGTTCAGTATGGACATGGGGTGTAGGGGGTTCTGTATGGACAGTATGGACATGGGGTGTAGGGGTTCAGTATGGACATGGGGTGTAGGGTTCAGTATGGACATGGGGGTAGGGTGTTCTAGTATGGGGGTTAGGAGTATGGGGTGTAGGGGTTCAGTATGTATGGACATGGGGTGTAGGGGGAGTTCAGTATGGACATATGGGGGTGTATGGACATGGGGTGTAGGAGTTCAGTATGGACATGGGGTGTAGGAGTTCAGTATGGACATGGGGTGTAGGGAGTTCAGTATGGACATGGGGTGTAGGAGTTCAGTATGGACATGGGGTGTAGGGGTTCAGTATGGACATGGTGTAGGAGTTCAGTATGGACATGGGGTGTAGGAGTTCAGTATATGGAGTTCATGGGTTCAGTGACATGGTGTGTAGGAGTTCAGTATCATGGGGGTGTAGGGTTCAGTATGGACATGGGGTGTAGGAGTTCAGTATGGACATGGGGTGTAGGAGTTCTGTATGGACATGGGGTGTAGGAGTTCAGTATGGACATGGGGTGTAGGGGTTCTGTATGGACATGGAGTGTTCGGAGTACATTGGAGGACACAGCCCATCAGCCCTTGCGTTAACGTCCGTCGACATCAGCGCTTGTTTTCAATGGTTGGGGGACCACAGGCTGCATATCTCGCTCAACAAACATTTTTCGCGCCATAATGTTGAGTGATTTGTGTTTTCTCTTTTTTGTATGCTTGGTTTTCTCAGTGTATTTTCTCACACCAGCCCGCGATTGTTGGGTGAGCCGGACTCCGTCCTTCGACCGTGGCATCTAATCAACAGCGGCTCTACACGCGATAACACCAGATCGTGAGATCCAGTCAGACGCCCTCATATTCGCGGACTAAAAACAAGGGCACATATGCCCCATAGGGTAGCCTAAATCGTTGGCAAATTGAACTTTGTGACATAACACAAACACATGAGACTGAACTGGACAAACATGGCCGGCTGCACTTCACAACAGAAACCACCGACAATTAAAATATTGTGTTAAAAAGAGAAAACATTGCTTTTAAATGTTAGAATAAGTAATTTTTGCCAAGTGGACGAAACATTCCTAAATAATCAATGAAGGGCAATATATGGCGGCAAACTTCAAAGACGGGACTCTGGGAATGTCGGAACACTGGAATTTCAAGAGAAATATTTTGTTGTTACTGCTGTTGTCTTTGTGACGCGGTTGTTGAAAGACCACAGCTTTTCAGATTTCAAAAATATGAAAGTGTGGGCTGCCACATTTTGTTTCCTTCAAAGCCAAGTATTTCATCACGTATAACAGCGTATATCCTTTGTTTCCTACAAAGCCCAGTACATCATCACGTGTATCACGTGAATCCTTTGTTTCCTACAAAGCCATTTAAGTATATCATCACGTGTATCAGCGTGAATCCTTTGTTTCCTACAAATTCAAGTATATCATCACGTATATCAGCGTGGATCCTTTGTTTCCTACAAAGCCACGTATATCATCACGTATATCAGCGTGAATCCGTTGTTTCCTACAAAGCCAAGTATATCATTACGTATATCAGCGTGAATCCTTTGTTTCCTACAAAGCCAATTAAGTATATCATCACGTATATCAGCGTGAAGCCTTTGTTTCCTACAAATCCAAGTATATCATCACGTATATCAGCGTGAATTCTTTTGTTTCCTACAAAGTCGCTCTATACCATGCGACAGTCATTCCAAATTATCAATACACACCAACAGTTCCGTTATGGTTTAGACCGTTTTAATTCCAGTAATATTACGACGGGATATCTGAGCCCCGTTCCTCAATGGGATTATAGCGCTATAAAATAACTCCCAAACTTTAACATTGGCGTACGACATCGCTGCCGTTGTTTTGTGGAAACGTCCTTCAAGTATAGTACCCGTGTTGGAATCGAACCCGGGATTCATCTTCAAAATCAAATATTTTAACCACTGTGCTACCCCGCTGTCCTCTACCACTTGAGGCCTCTTAACACATGCGTTAACCTATAGTCAAATTGTATCGACAGTTGGAGATTTGAATTGGCATTGTGATTGAAGCTGTATCAATGAAGGCTGGGTTTCAGTTTCTTAATGCTTTCAATGAGACTGGTGCCAGAGAAAAGACATAAATTGCCACTTTTCAAAATATTCCAGCAATATCCCGGCGAGGGAAACAGAAATGGGCTTCACACATTGTACCCATGTGAAGAATCGAACACGGGCGGTCGGCGTGTCGAGCGAATTCTTTAACCACTAGGCTACCCCACCGCCCCATCGTTAAATGAATATTGTGATGTAGTTATTCATCCTCAATAATGCCTCCGTGATGTCACAATATCTGACACAACACACAGGAAAACCAAGGATGGAGTATTCCCAATCACTTTCTAGTCCCAATCACACAACAATATTTTGTTGCCTGCCAAAATAACAATCAGCTAATTAATCGCCATTGCTAACACGTCTCTAAGGTCCTCAAGAACAGCCGATTCCTGAGATTCGATATATAAATGTTAATTTGCTCTAGACTAAAAGCACGGACGACCTTTAAGCCATAATACCAGCTACATGTGCCTTATACATGTACTCTCCATCTACCGAAGGAACTCAGAGGGCTGCATGTTTGCGATCGTCTGCCAGTGGTCTCCATGGTTACATAACTGTCGTCTGCTTGACGCAGCTACCTGTTTGACCAGCACCCGACCCTGGGTCCGAGGCCATGAAGCCCACTGTGACCGAGAGTAAACAACATTACGCAGATTAAAACTGACATGTTTACAAATCCCCCGGGAAGGATCACCAGACAGTGTACAGTCACAGTTGACTTTTGAATACCTTTTCCATACAAGCGGTATCAGGGATGACGTCAGTTGACTACCAGTATCTCAAAACTGGACCAGGGGCTCATACGTCATATCTCAGCAAAACGTACGTTTTGATACTACAAAATGTTTCAACGAAGCAGTTATTATAGTAAATATAACAAACATAATTTTAAACGGTATTGATATCATAGTGCGGGGTCAGAGTAAATATATATATTTTTCAATTTTTAGTATTTTAAAACTATCTGTTTGTTCTGTTGGAGAGCTTATGCATGGCATGACGCCATTTTGTCCTTAAGTGACAATGAATGTGTCTTTCATCAACATCAATGAAAAATGTCACAAAAACATTAATAAGATTTAACTTTGCTCTTTTTTTCCTTCAATTAGGATTGCCGTGTTGTCGGTATATGTAAATATATGACGTTGGTGAATCACGTGACGGTGTTTCACGCGCTAGACCCACAATGCACTCTGTATGAATCAGACCTCAAAATGAGTTCTTGAACAGCTGGAGAATTATTTGAATTACGTATGTGAGATGTTTAACACTGCGCCTCAGCCAAAATAAACGAACGCTGATGATAGAGAGTGTTGACTCACTGGCAAAATGAACGATCCTTGGAATACAAAAATGGAAAAATGCATGGGATTATATCTTATCGCTTTCAGTATTAATATCATTGGAATAATATGTTACAATACTGGTTGAAGTAACTAAAAATATGTCAGTGATGACTACAATCTAGGGACAGTCCATGGTAGACTTGAAAATGGTTCTCTTAGGCCCCTCTTTGCAGTACGTGACCAGATTGGGCTGCCGAAGATGATTTTAATGTTTTCAACGTATATGTTAGTTGAAGCCCTGGTATACGTGGCAATGTTTATATTGTAGACCAACACGTATAATCACTTGACATCGATGAACAGGACACTTCCCGCTAAGCTCAACACCAACGCGGAACTCACGCCAGTTGAAGATGTTGACAATATCTCAGATAAAGCATAGCCGGCTGTTTTTAAATTCAGGGGATAAATTTACATTTCGGAAGCTAAATTTGCTCCTCTGGGTCCCTGCATACCAAAATTCCTGGTACAGAATTAAGGCGGACATGTATTTATGTTTTCCACTTTTAAACAGACTTTTCACGAAGATAACATATGTGATTTGACAATAATGATATTTATAGCTTCGATTCCGATATAAAGGTATGAAAAGTGTAAAAGTTGCGTTTTAAACTGTTTTTAAGGCAATTAATTTGCTGGGAGCTGAGCAAGTTTGTGTCAATTTACACTAAAGAAGAAAAATTCGTAAAATATCCATGTTCTGCAAACGTTCAATCGCGTTTGATATCTGACCTATTTTCCCTTCTCACCGGAGGGGTCTCCCGCAACACCATAACTATTGCTTCATGTACTGGGGTAAAGGCGAATGAATACCTCATACAGGAGGGTAAATATACCCGTATACAAGAGCCGGGCTTCACCTTCTCTATAGTCGGGTACACAATACCCGCGATTCATAACACCCTGTTGCACCTGACGGACCTTAACCTTAGGAAATAAAGAAAAAGCTGGGCTTAAAAACACATTTACTCTGTTATATCACAGATTCTACCCGATATGTTTTTATTTCAGCACGGTCTCTCGTTTTAGATATTAAGATGTCGCAATATCGTTAGTCGGTACTTCAACGATTTTAAAAATAATGTTTTCTTAAATTGTGATTTGTATATATTTCTCGTCATGTCGCTAGTTTTCAGTTTCCTTGTAGGTTGTGTGAGTGAGTTACTATTTACGGTCGCATCGGCAATCTCTAAGTCATACAGCGACTGGTTAAATAACAGAAATTTTAGAAAAATAATAAGAATATATTACTGTTATAAACAGAACCCCTTAACATATTATTGAATGCTGTATCGTCATGTACTGTGTGGAGTTTCTGAATAAAATATATATTTTCGAGCACATGTGTAAGTCACAAACACAAATTGAAACGAAACATTACATTTTACAAATATTGTAAATATATAGTTAATGCTTGGCACTAATAATAATTGTGTGACAACATAGAGGTGTGAAAATTACCTCTACAAATCCCATGGGTAGCTTCTTGAGTGTCTCCCAGACATTCGTATCCAAGTTCAGTGTCACACAAAGATCCAGGGGGGTCATCTTCTCCTTCCACGTACCCACACGTCTCCCCCAGCATGCGATGGCAGCACCCCCGGGCATCTCGCGGCCTGTCATCCCTACAGGGGTCGAGCGATGTACAGTTCCTTCCCAATGCCTCGCCTACAATGGCGAGGATCACAAGTAGATACAAATACAATGCTGTCCCCGACATCCGCGTTAAGTCTCTGAGAGAAATCACATTGATGTACATGTAGCCGATGATGTCTTCGGGGTAGGAGTTAGAATGTCGTCGTTGTCCACCCGGCCGACCGACCAACTCAGCTGTCTCACAGTTGGTATACTCGGGACGGTTCAGCGTACACAGGCTTATGCCTGTACTCTATACGCGAGCTCTGAACAGCATTGGGTGTATGGATACAAGAATGAAAAGTGATACCCATTGAAGACGGTGAGATATTTATAGCCGGTTAGGCTGTCGACGTTGTTCGCTTCTCCATAAACTCATCAGGGTAACGGGTGTGGTAGTGGCTACGTTGTCTCAGACGTTGTCGCTCACAATGTGAGTGTTGTCGCTGCTTCCAAATCGTCGTCAGAGTAAGCGCCGTTTCAGCATATTGCCAGCCATTCAGTCGTGCCTTTAGCTTGGCCGAACATTTGCTCTCAATATTTGTCTAACAACTCAAGGAAAACAATACACTGAAAGCGTCAAACTTGAGATTCTCAAAGTGTGATTTCGCGTGAAATGACTAAACATTCTAAGAAAATTTACATTCTGATTTCCCACCGGTCCGGTTTGTAGTATTTCGGGGTTATCCGACTGACCAGAGATTGTGGGTATTGTCCGATCGCCTCTAGAGAAACAAGAATGCAGACAATTGTTTATCTCAAAATATTCCCAGCTGTGTGTTAATACGGGTTAAATCTCACCGATGTTATGGACTTCCTGATAAAAACAAGTCTCTTTGTAAAAAGTTCTGCTTGTGTTCTAGCTATTGACTTCCAAACTCCTCACAACCTCGCATCACCTGGTTTCAACATATCCGCGATAGTATAGACCGTTGTACACGACTGACGCGATCTCCAACCCTGTTTGGAGTACACAACACTTGTAAAGACATTTTGTCTTTGCTAAGATGTTCTGCTGCTACACGCCAGCTGATAGCTAATTCTGTAGCAGTTTCTAGGAGCACGCCACATCGGGAATGTCAACGACTTAATCTTTATATTTCCTTCTTTAAATAATCCGCATTTATTTTTTTTATTCTAAATCGTAAAAACTACACATGTCCCTTCCAATGTGTGAATTTAACTAGATTAGATTGTTTTCCCATACTACGTGAGGGTCTCAAAAAGTAAATAATTAAAACTTGACTTAACACTGTTTCTCTAAGACCAAACATGTGCTGAAGACTCGATATATTACATCATAACGTATTCACTGAAGAGATTATACCATAAGCATATTTATGATTGACGTGTTTTGCGGAGCACAATCCATAGGTTTCAGGACATATCTTAAGGAACGAAAACATTTTTTGAAATGAGCAGACTTTATATACATAACTTTTAGATTATAACGAACTTAAACATAAGACTACTTTCTATAATATTTTTGGACATTTTAGTTTCATTTAATTTCACAGAATGTATCACTTAAGTTTTAAAGAAATATATCATGAAATTGTCAGTTTGTCTTTGAGGTTGCTTTGGAGGAAATGTATAGCGTCAACAAAGGAGAATATTTATTCTGGGTTGTCTGCCCGAACAGAATATGTTGGGTGTAAAATCAAAATAATGGTGAGAAACTTAAAAGAATGGACCAATGAAAATATTTGATGACACCGGGTGTTCACGAAAATGGGGAGTATACCCTGCTGCTCCGGTCTCACCCTGCTGCTCCGGTTTCACCCGATTACACTGACGTGGTGACAAGATACAACATGTTAATACATGATCGCTTTGTACAACATGAGATGTGGTGAACTTTACTCGTTTATACGAAAAGAGGTAAATACATGATTTCAAACTAGTAAATGACGTGACAAGATACAGCACAATACATGATCACACCTGACGTGGTGACAATATACAGCACAATACATGATCAAACCTGACGTGGTGACAATATACAACACAATACATGATCACACCTGACGTGGTGACAATATACAGCACAATACATGATCACACCTGACGTGGTGACAATATACAGCATGACAATGACGTGGTGATACACACCATGATCACGTGGTGACAATATACAGCACAATACATGATCACACCTGACGTGGTGACAATATACAGCACAATACATGATCACGCCTGACGTGGTGACAATATACAGCACAATACATGATCACACCTGACGTGGTGACAATATACAGCACAATACATGATCAAACCTGTCGTGGTGACAATATACAGCACAATACATGATCACACCTGACGTGGTGACAATATACAGCACAATACACGTGGTGATACAGCACAATACATGATCACACCTGACGTGGTGACAAGATACAGCACAATACATGATCAAACCTGACGTGGTGACAATATACAGCACAATACATGATCACACCTGACGTGGTGACAATATACAGCACAATACATGACCTGACGTGGTGACAAGATACACACAATACATGACGTGGTGACACAAACATGATCACACCTGATACAATATACAGCACAATACATGATCACACCTGACGTGGTGACAAGATACAGCAATACATGATCAAACCTTATCATGGTGACAAGATACAGCACAATACATGATCAAACTTGACGTGGTGACAATATACAGCAGAATACATGATCAAACCTGACGTGGTGACAAGATACAGCACAATACATGATCAAACCTGACGTGGTGACAAGATACAGCACAATACATGATCAAACCTGACGTGGTGACAAGATACAGCACAATACATGATCAAACCTGACGTGGTGACAAGATACAGCACAATACATGATCAAACAATACAGAAGTTATCACTACAGCGATAGCTCTTTAAACTGGGATGATAAACGATTCCTATTCTTCAAGGTGATAAATCAGAGTAAATACATCGTCAATAAAGTCACATGGACTGCAGGTGAATTGTAAACACGACACAAGAGGCCATGAAAGCCCTAGTGTGCGCGGGACAAGGTTTAGCTGTTGGGATGTTAATTACAAGCAAGTTGTGCGAGGACCAGCAGGTGCTCGCGGTCGTCTCCATAGATGCTTTACTGTATAGAGATACGAAGCCAACAAGTGCGTGGGCCGACAGATAACAATGATATCCTTCACTACCAACTTGTGCCTTGCGAAGCTGAACACTTGACATGTCTGCATTACAACGTGTATTACATGACAAAGGGGGCTTTATCATGAAATATATATTAAAAAAAACGTCGGTAAAAGCTACTGATATATTCATTTCTTACAATCATGCTCAGTATTTTCTCTTCGAAATGAATTTTGTTTGTATGAAAATGTTTCTGGCTTAGATATTTGAGTTCCCTTACATCATAGCGATGACTAAAAGAGAAAATACCTGTTTCCACTTAAACCATATCTTCATCCATGTATGTGCTTTTCTCGAAATGCCCATGGATATATACTCTCCCCAAAAAGAAACGCATATAGGATTTTCAATATTATTTTTATGTTTATTTTGAAACATCTTGTAGGCTTTATGAGTCAATGAATTATAGCGAAATTGCACAATGGGAATGCAGACTTATCCGTCTTTGGCACCAACTCGAGGAAAGTCAGTTTGAGTGTCACATGGAGACGTGTGGTGACGCTGAAGTCAATACCTCGTGTGACCACCGTGGGCATCCAGAACTGCACGGCATCGCCTCGGCATCTAACGAATAAGTCTCAGAATCTCGTGTAGCCCAATCGCAGCCCACTCTGCCTGTAGTGCCTGTGCGAGTTGCTGAAGTGTCTGGGTCTGTGGGTTACGGCGTCGCACCCGTCTGTCCAGGGCATCCAACAGATGTTCGATCGGGTTTAAGTCCAGTGATCTTGAGGGCCAGATCTTGTGCTGTATCTTGTCACCACGTCAGGTTTGATCATGTATTGTCCTGTACCTTGACACCATGTAAGGTTTGATCATGCATTGTCCTGCACTGAAAGAAGCAGTTATGTTTGTGTACCATGATAATGCTTTGATGTTCATGAGCGTGTAAAGAACCTGCCCAGTTTGGTTCTCCTCACACGGTATCCGGTCCCAAGTCCATTCATGGTGAGCTCAACCATGCTATGGCTGCACTATTGCTAACAGCAACAGCAATCAATCACCGTTACGCAACATACTCCAACAACATTATTTGCTCAGCAATCACATATACTCGTGCTAACAACACCTTTACTATAAATATATGACGGTTGATTGCTTGGTCTCAGTGCATAACGTCACGTTCTTCAGAACAATGGGTAGGTGTTTGTGGCCCAGTAGACCTTTAACTGTGAATGAGCATATTCGTATCTCACAGAAAAAAACGCAAAGAAAATAATCTGCCGACATGTTCAAGGACACTTGTGTTCATACCGAATTCAAATGGGTAGCAATTCGTTCAAGACGAATGTGATTTGCACTCTAGAAAATAAAATTAAACAGGTAGAACAGAGGCTTATTGTTTGAATTGTCCGGCACCTTGCTTGGGTTTTGTTGTTTTGTTAAGGACCCGCGCCACAAAACAGATTCCACCGAGATCGCCTCGTCAGACGGGATCGAAGTAGATGCATTTCTACTGATAAGGACTACCAAATTGTATACTGTCAGAGAAAATATTAGAAAAGACTGATTTTGAAGAAATTCTGATAATGTGTGTTCTCAATATTTACAAAATATGAAATTACTTCTTTGAACATGTGAGAATAATGTACATGAAGAGGGGTAACTTCTTGATTATCTATGCCGTGATATTTGGTTTCCTAGTCTTTAGGGAATATTTCTACATTCGTAATGAATCAATAGCAAGAAGAAAAGTATAAGTTAATGATTAAGATTTAATATTCTGAAAGCAGTGACTGCCGATTCCAGTTTGAGGGGAGAGTGAGTTTGATTCCTATTTGACGTGACGGTGAGTTGAAGAAAATACACACGAGCTTTTGTCAGGGTCACGAGGTCAGGGTCGTAGACATTCTTGCACTGGAAAACACGACTGAGTAGACAAAGGCATCACTTCTTTGGATATCACAGAAAAGTATTATAGTTTAGTGCCATAAAGAAACATGGTCATACTTCAGGTACCGCATGGCGTATGGTCGAAATGGCTCTTATCATGACATGCACTCGGGACATCTAGCTGTGTAAATGCATCTTTATACCACAAGCAAACAGTCTAAACAAGTCGATTAAACCATGATTAATAAACCCATGCATCAAAGAGGGACTCGTATTA